GAATGGACTACGACACACCATATTTTCCTCCCAAGTCGTAGAAGCATATGAATGCAATTTGAGCTTGCGAGTCTAGCTGATTCAATAGTCTGTGTACAGTTAACTAAGCAACGTTAAGGAGGAATTCACGATAAGAACGAAGGTCAAAGAAGGGAAAATTGCATAGTTGGGAGACAGGCGGACCTCCTGAGGGTGCTGACCTGACGCGCAATTGGCAGCGAAAGATTTGACCTCGGCGATCTAGCATGGCTCACTCTTGGCGCGGTTGGCGGGGTACGCCCACCGACTATCTAATCACTCGCCGCAGGTCTATACGTGGCGAGTGATTAGATAGCAGAGAGAGCGTAGTGTTGAAGAGGGCACAGCGATGAGAGTCGCATCAATGCGCAAATCAACGGGCAAGGAAGGGGTCCCATTTCTCGGGTTTTGGGCCGTTTCAAATGGTTTCTTCTTCATCCTGCTCCACTGACCACTCCACCCTTGCTTCCAATGTTATATTCCATCTCATACAAATTTAACGGATGTATTTGCTTGGTCCGAATGTAATCTTCACTGGGAAGTACAGGTGTAACGTCATAAGCGTTCTACAATAAACATTTCCCATTGAAGGCTGTAAGGACGCAACCTCTCAACAGTTTAGCAGCGCTCGTGTATACCCTCACCTTATATCGGAACGATCTGCTCCTGTACTCGACTAGAGCTAAACCCCGATATCGCAGCGCGTTTGGCGCATGTCACAGATTAATTCATTTAAAAACCTTAAATAAGCTTATTGGCGCTGACAGATCCATGCATTCCACCTCCATTCAAAAACGTTGCAGCTTTCGAATGCAAAATGGCCTTTATAATGATCTGGGGCCACCTGATGGACAAGACAGTGAGCTTATCTGTCCCAATTCTGAAACAATAGCTGACGCTAGAGGGATGGATGGCCTGTGGGTCCAGCCAAAGTTCGATACGAGATTTGATCTCCGGATCATGCGCGTGGTACGGTACTACTTGCACTGCCTCAATTTGAAGCGAATGCTAAAGAAATGAGGTAGAGACACCGGGAAAAGGTTGTAGTAATAGTAGAAATGGTAGAAAGATACTTGGTATGAAATTTGTGAGTATGTGCTCACCTGACTGGTCATTCCGTGAGAGACGCTCATTTGCTGGACCGCGTGAACAGGTGGAGCCGGCCGATGAGTTTTCCGTGTCGATGTTCGAAGGCGATCAACTCGTCGCTGGTACCCGGTGCTTGGCCTTTCCATCGATGGACCTAAATTTTTGCACTAATCCAACGATTTCAGTTGAAACCTCTTTAAAGGTTG